CATTCTTCATTATCATTCCAGAGCTGATAGGCTCTAATTATCTGCCTTGGCTCTGATTAGTCTCTCTGTAACAAGCTAATTAGATGGAGTCTTGTAAAATCATCACCACCATTACCACAGAGACATGGATGGGAAAGACACCAACAAGCAGGAGGCAAGGAATGTGTCTTGCACTGCTCCCCGCAAAGACTTGATCGTCAACTAAATATTAAGTGCTAGAGCTGATTTCTTTTTGATTAAGTGCCTAAAGAATCTTTATCCTTTCTCATTATTCATCACGGGAGGATTGTTCCCTCTTACAGGGCAGGATGATCTGGCTTAAATTGCATAAACTGCCGCTGTCGACATTTTAGGAGATAGCATCTAAACATTGATTAGTTTCCGTGCCCCCACTATACAGTTGGCTATTTATCCACAACCAAGCGTCGTCAGATCCGAGTCAGAAGTTTTCTCTGCGCAGAGCAACTTTAAAGCCTGAGCAGAAAGCTAGATTAATTCTCTCCTCTAGCTTCTTCCTCCCTCCGTTATTATCCCTCTAACAATCCTTTTAGGAGCTGTCACACACTTTATAGCTATTGTGTTTCAGTTGTGAACACTCCAGAGCTAGTCTGGAGTGCAACACATTGTATTTCCCATCAAAATGCATCTTCAACTGTAAGCTAGTTAAAAAAGGAAATGGGAATTGGGATCTCAGCATCTGTTTTATACTTTCCAACTCATTTGAGCGCATACCGTAGGTGCTGTAAAAGATTTATTATAGCAATTCATACAGTTTAAAGACTTTATATCATTTTTCAGCTTGCATGTACCGCTCATTGCCAATGCAAACGTTTCTATTATTGACTATAATTGACTTCGAAGAGACACTATGTTACATAATAATCGGAAAACAAGTAAAGTTGAACTGTTTACTACAACAACAACAACACATCTGCTGCGTGTCCGCCCTAACTAGGCACAGTAAACTCCTGCTGCTTTTGCTCTGGATTACAAAGTGCATATATAGCCTGTGGTCACACACAGGAGAGCTTTTACATAATGGGATTTCAAATCCATAGTTACTTTCAGCCCTTAGGTAGCTCACCTCTGTGCGTAAGTGTGCACAGGTGTTTGTTAGTTGGAGAAAGGGAGGGGGAAGGAAAGACACTTACATATGTCAGCTTCGTCAAGGGTGCAAGCATGTGTCTGGTTGTGACAAGACGACTTGCCTACATGTCAAATCTTAGCGATTGTGTTCATATGTGAGTTTATCCTGGCAGGGGGCTCTCCTCCTCTGGTTAAGGCAGGTGGCCTATGTGGATCGCAGCCTACTGAACTGGTTGGCAGCTCTTCTGACATTCCTTCATGCCACGCTGACAACAGATCACAGCCAATATTTGCAAAAAATGGTGTCTTACTGTAGCTCACAATCCTGTGGCATGCTCTACTTTGCAAGAATAGAGTCTATGCAGAAAGTGCCCTAGATCTGGCCTGTGTCACTGTCAGGAGAGTTTTTGGTGCACATTGTTTCCATATTTTGTCACTGTACCTAATGCAGATAATGATCCCCTAGCCTGAGCTTCATAAAAAGGCACGCTAAGCTAATGTCATAGAGGCTGCAATGCAGTATTATACCGCTTCTCCTTGGGCGCTGCTGTGCAGTCTTGCTGTCTGCCCTGACTCAGAGTGAGCGAGTTGGTAATTAGATTCCTGGAATCTTCTTATTCACTCCAGTGAGGCAGTGTGCAGGCGACAAAATGCCTGCAGCCACGAGGCATCATCCCTAGGCCCCTGTGGGAAGATCAAGGTAGCTTTACACAGACTCTGTAGATGAGACTGTGGCTGAGTCTCTCTCCCATGGGATCCTGAATGTGTGGATGGCTGAGTGGGAGCCCAGCACTGCAAAAAAGGAATTTTAACAACAATTCTTATTTTTCGTCTAAAAAGTCAAATTATCTTAAGAATGTTTTTGCTTAAAGGTCCCATGTCATGGCCATTTCTACTGATCAGAATTCCATTGTTGAGGTCTACTAGAATATATTTATATTGTGCAAGTTTCCAAACTCACATTGGTTTCTCATACAGCATCTCTGTAAAGTATGTGTATTCACTCTCTGTCCTAAACGGCTTGTTAGAGCTCCTGCCCCCCCCCCACTCCCTGTGAGCCCAGTATGCTCTGATTTGTCGGGACGTTGAGAGGCTCGTTGTTGCGATCTGCTGCGAGGAGCGGAAATCTGTCCACTCCTCGCAGCAGATCGCAACAACGAGCCTCTCGGCGATACAGCGAGAACAAGCGAAATTCATCCTGAGCAAACACTCACAGCCGAAGGAAAAACAATAAGTGTGGCTTGATATTGAGTAAGAAAAAGGTTTATAACGCTGTGAGAATGGGTCTGCGGAGAGCATTTCTCAACTTAGTTGACCAAAAAACGTTTACCCATTTAAACAGTCGTGGGAGATACCTTGTTTGTTTTAAACATCATAAATACACAAACAACAATGAATACTTGCAGGTTTTGTACCCGAATCTCCCACTGGTCCAAACAAAGTAGGAACAGCATCGTTCTTCAGTGCCCTACGCTGTACATATCCGGCATGAATCGCTGAAAGGTTTGGGAAGCTTTGGCCCATTCCCAAACCGACCCCTACACCCTACCCATACACCCTACCCATCTGTTTGCGCGTTCACGCGGAGGGTCCGCCATATTGAGGGCTGTTCCAAAGCAACGAGTGTGGAGCGGTGTGGAGGGGGAGTGGGCTTATGGCATGAGCCCTCAAACAACGAGCTATACGCGTGTGGACTTGATACCGGCGTCATCTACCTGACCGGAGTCACGCTGTGTAAAGTCCGCTCAGCAAAACACGCTGTTTACTCAAGTAGCTGGCCAGTAGAATCCACTGGTAACGTCGATGGTAACGAGACCTCAATGATATCTCTCAGATGTCTTTGAATTCGGTGCACGAAATCACATACCTGTGTTTGAGTCAATTTAGAAAGAAGTAAATGTATGTATAGTCAAATTATAAAGTGTCGTATACTATGTACATACTGTAGCATCAAGACGAAGATACGTTATAAACGATCAGCTGTAATTTCACAACTAAAACAGCACAGTAAAATGGTTGGATTTTATTGTGTCTTTATTGGGAATTTTGACAACTATTGATCAAAACGAGATAATCATGTGAATTGCTCATGTTAGATACAGTTACGGCATTTCCTGTTCTTACTGATAAGGAGCCGTCCCAAAAGCTTGATCCAGTTTGGACGTCCCAGAGATGCTTGTTGTTATGAGACGCGTTGCGGCTCGCCTCGAAAGTAGAGCAGCAATAGCCGATCGCAGCCAGCGGGACAGTCATTCAAAAAGCCTCGCCTGAGAATCAGACAGCTCCGAGTCGGCTTCTTCTTCTCTTCTACTTTACTTCTTCTTCGCTTTCGTCTTCTTCTTCTTCTTCTTCTTCCTTCTTCTGCTCGGTTTTTTGGCGGATTTGCAAACCACTTTAAGGTGCATACCGCCACCTCCGGAGTTGGCTTGACTCGGTTTGCATTTATAAAGAATGCACACATGTGTTTAATCGTTAATGTCAGATATGTACTAAGTAAATACATTTGTTCCTGCTCAAGATTAGATTCAACTTTATTGTTATTGCACATATTACAGGTACTGAGACAACGAAATGCAGTTTAGCTTCCAACCAGGAGTGCAACAAGCAGTAAAGTGAAAAGTAATGTACACAATCTACAGGATAAAATATAGAATGAATTGAATGATGAATAAACAGTGAGGGGTATGAATACACTAGATATACACAGCAGCCTGTGAGCAGTATGAACAGTGTGTATGAATATGCTAAGATATATAAAGTATGAAAACGGTAAGCAGTGCAAGTATAGTATAACATATATAGATATTAATTTCATGATGATAAACATTGTGGAACAATGATGAAAAATGTGAATGGAAGTGGCGACGTAAAACTGACACAAAACAACAACAAACTTTTGCCGAGCCAATGGAGAGCTTCATCAGCAGCACGGGGTAAAAACCACCAATGAGCGCTCAGCTCGAGATACCAGCGAGTCGTTTCCTATCAAGCATTTCGCCTCCGCAGCCCGTGGAGAGGAACTGCGGCGCCTCGCCGCGCCTCGCTCTCAAGGCTGCGGGCGTCTTTGTCCCGCGAGATTTCAACGTCTCATGTGAGCGAGCCTCCAGAGCAAGTCGGACAAAATGACTAACCATCATGCAACACACGAGCAAGACGTTGATCGAAATTGCGCAGGTCTGCGCAGGTCTCGCTTGTCTCAAACAAGCCTATTTACTCCCTCCCAGCTGCTCCCTCCGCCTGACAGGAGGGAGCCTCATTGAGCTGCGAGTGTGGCTACGGAGGGGTAGAGTCGAGGGAATGGTTTTGGGATTGGGCCTTTGTCCCAATCCCACTGCAGTCAGCATGTTGTTGTGTCCCTGGGCCAGGGCCGGTCCTAGTCATTTTGGTGCCCTAGGCGAGATTATGATTTGGTGCCCCCCCCCCCCTCCAAGCAATACACAATAGAATATATAATGAATAAATGAAAAATCTCGAAGAAGACCAATACACTACAAAAACTGAAACATATTGACAAAAGTCACTAGAACCCCCCCCTCCCCCCCATTGACAAATTACTACTGGGCCGGTCGAGATTCCCGGGATGATTTTTAGTCCAAGTCTACCCCTGCCTACATGCAGTGCAAAGATAGTGTGGTAATTGACCAAAAACTCTGAACTGAATCGAGACGGTACAGGTATCAGTTCCACATTGCAGTTACAAGAATGACTGAGAGATATTCTAATCCTTCGGCATTATGTTTTGCCATCTACTGGGAATCATTTATAACTGGCATACCTTTACCCTCAGTTGACTCGCTGCTAGTCGGTTCCTCGGATTCCCCTGGCTGCTTTTTCCCACTCTACACACACAGTTACATGACAGCTGTCACTTTCAGTAACCACAGCTCCGTCACTATCTCTCCACTATCCCCCAGGCCCAGACTGGTACCTGAACAAGGTGAAGCTGAAGATCACTGATGTCAACGACAACATCCCTGAGTGGAATATGAAGCCGTACCCATACCTGGCCGTGGTGTCTCCAGAGGCCCCCGCGGGAACGTTTGTCTACCAGCTCCAGGCTCTCGATGGGGATGAGGGCAAAAGCGGAGAGGTGGAATACTTTTTGTCGGATGGTAAGTTTCTACTTTACACACAAACACTCACACACCAATGAGATGTATAGGATGTATTCAAACAGGCTGTTAATATGCTGGCCAGCTATGGACCCTTGGAAATAAATACAACCAGCAAACACCAGCACAGTGGCTCAGAAAGACAGCCTGAGGCATTCACACATTCATTCATGCATTCATGCACTCTTTAGGTGTCCATTAGTTTCTCTGTCTCTCTGTCACCCTGCCTCTATCCACCTCTGTATCTCCGTCCCTCTCTCTCTTTCTCTCTCTCCCACATATGCACACACAGCCACAGGCCCTCACACATTTGCTTATGCACTTATCATGCACTCTTGTCTATCTGTCTGCTTCTCTCTGTTTCATACAAAGAAGCATGCACACATGCACTCACTAACACAAACGCACACAGTGGGTTGTTGGAATGCTGCCAGAGAAATAGACCCCCTGGTGGTTGAGGGGATAGAGATTTTTTAGCATGTCAGAGATGGGGGGGGGGTTGCTAATCTTGCCAGTGGGGCTTTACAAAACACTACCGATTTCCCTTTCACTAACATAAGTCCATCACACATATCTACTTATGTGTGTTTAACCACAATTACCAAAAGGTAGCTGTGGTCTATAATACAACAAGTCCTCCAACTCATACGACCAAATAGGCCGATTGTTCAGGCCCTTATTACGACCAAATATGTTGTTTGTTCAAGCGCTTAATACATCCTATAATTACGTTTGAAAGTTTTTGCCCTTGAGTGCTCCCGTTCAATGCAAACGTTACAGATGGTCGTTTATTCACAAATAACCCTCTCTGTAAAATCCTAAATTGTATGATAGTTTGGCCATTAAAACGCTTTTTGATTAGATTTCTAGCGAGAAGTGTATATTTTACTTTTAGAATCCACGTCCAACCGATATGTAGGATCTATAGTTTGATAGATATTACGAAGATGATTTGAGGTATGCGCCAAAACTGAATACGTGACGTGGATCATAAATATATCAGCAACGAAACAACATTTTCCATTTCTTTTCACAGAATACGTCTCCCTACAGTATCAACACTAATTCGGCTGACTTTTATATTTGATCCAATTGGTATATAGGTTATATTTACACCATAATGGTGCACAGCTGATAGAATGGGATTTTTTTGTAGTTTTTAAAAATATTATTTACTACCTTTCCAACTCCTCATGCAGTTGACTGTCACAGGTATATACAGGTTCATGGTACAATGCATAAGCTTCAAATCGAGAGACTGAAACTGTATTTTCCTTTACCGTTCTGTTTTAATTTCACAATAAAGTTAATAGTCATATTATGTTTGATATTATTATGTTTTATTACACCACTGGATTTTTAACCCACACCGCCTAGTGGTTAAAGCACGTTATTGAATTTGGTTGTTAGATACGTTATATTTGATGAAAACATTTAAATATTAACAGTAGCCTACATACAAAATAGGGGGAAAGTAGAAGGCATGATAGAAATATAGAATAGAAAATATCAAGAAGATACTGTAGTGATCTCTACAATAAAACAGTTTATTGCAGGACGTCCAAAGATATTAACAGGAGGATGTGCAAAACAGACAAACTAATAAGGCTTTATTCAAACATTAAAGAATACTTTAAGTTAAGGTCTTCTTTTGAATAAGATAAAAACGTTGGGGTTATCCACAGATAAATATGAAGTCCGACAAAGTACTTAACGTCCAATATATTGCATAGTTTATTTTGGCACTTGACAATCACCTTCCCTGAATTTGACTCAGGTGTAACTAAAGTCTGATTTAAGGGTTGTTTATATTTCACATCATTAATCAGAATCTGCAAAGTAACTCAAATAAATGTTGTGGAGTAAAAATACCAGGTTAACCTCTGAGTAGTGGAGTAAAACAAAGTAGTACATGCTGCTGTAACAAAAAAATTCCCAACTTGGGATCAATAAAGTATATCTTATCTTAAGATGATCGATGGCTACTGCCATATTTGCAAAATTTGCCTCTGAACCTTGACAAGTGCATGTTTCAGGCTTATCAATGGACAACAGGAGGGGTCACAGACATAAGACCAGCTGTTAAATAAAGCTCTTCTGACCTTAGGTGTCGTGTGGGTATATTAATTCACCCATTTATTAATTATATGTTTTAAATTTGATAAGACCACTGTGTTTCGTATCCCCTAAACCTAAACGTCTTATAAAGAGACGTACCATAGAACATGTTGCGAAACACACAATAGCCAGCATGTGTAGACCCGGGGGCTGGACCTGTCCAATTCCAGTTTTGGAAAGTCTGCCGTTGCATCCATTCCATTTCATAGAGCTGTTGTCGCTCAGCGTAACCTTGTCGCACTGCCACTCCAACATCCAATCAGAGGGCTTGATGACTAATCACAGGGTTTGTAAAGCAAGACGGATGTTGTAGTCCCAAACTATATCTGGGGTTTCTGGGTAGAGTAGTGTCTTCGGAAACTGTAGTTTCTTAACTCCGAAAAAACTATTTGTTTCTCTGAATCGAAGGTTAAAAACACAAAAGCATTGTACACAATTTAAACCAATCAATATTGTGTAATTAACAAGGATAAACTGATGTTTTTTAGTGGATGAGTAATGCAGATATCACTGTGTAATCATTTGACAGTGAGGGGAATATATCGGGTTTTATTATGAAAACTTTGAGACCGGAAAAACTGTTTTCACCCACGCTAACTTTACATGGAAGCTGCATACACGTTATCCGGCGAGACCTCAAATCATCTTCGTAATATCTATCAAACTATAGATCCTACACATCGACTGGACGTGGATTCTAAGAGTACAATATACACTTCTCGCCAGAAATCGAATCAAAAAGCATTTTAATGGCCAAACTATTCCACAATTCAGGATTTTCCAGAGAGGGTTATTTGTGAATAAACGTCCCTCCGGAGCGTTTGCAATGAACGGGCCGGGAGCATGTAGTTTCTTACACGACCACTAGAGCACCTCTAGTGGTCATGTAAGAAACAACATACACTTTAAAACGTGTCTCTGGATCGTAATAAGGGCATGAACAATCGGCCTATATGGTCGTTTTTTGTAGGAGGACAGGCTGCTATAATAACATGCTTGAACCATTTTTAAGCAAACTGAGTTGTTTCGCTACTGCTCAGCCCTGATTTCAACATTTCAAATGTATTTATTTAACCCTCTTATGCAGTGCTTAACTTTTAAGACCTCAAGGGGATGAGAGTAGCTGGCCAGAGTGAGGTCAATCTGTCTGATCCAATTTTTTGTATTTAACAGTAGTAGGAAAAGTATAACATTTTATTTAAAGGTGCCCCGTGGAGCTTTCTTGTAAACAAATGTGAATCTCTGCATGATGCAAACAAAACGGTGAAGCCACTATTTAAAACCAGAGCACTACTTATGGTCAGAAACTCCACAGGGTGGAGGATGTGTTACAAATTAAGGTTCTGCTTTCCTGCAACTACAGAATTGTATCACCAAACGTCAATGTCAACATTCACCAATTAACACACATTTATACACTCATGGCAGGGCTGCCTTACAAGGGTCCTAACTGCTAATCATCTATGTTCATTGACATACACACACCAATGGCACAGCCTTCGGGAGCAATTAGAGGAGCCGTTTCTTGCCCAAGGGCATTTCGACATTCAGACTGAAGGAGCTGGTGATCAAATAGCCGATCTTCTGGTCTACCTTTTCAGCCTCAGCCGCCACATTGATGAATACTAATAAAATAAAAAAAATAAAAAACTCTAGATTGTGCATAAATAACTGCTCCCATTAATTTAAATGTAGGCTTATTGTCCTTTCTGAATATTAATGTTGATTATTATTCTGTGTTGTGTCATTAAAAAACGTCTGTCCTTGAATGCCAAAACAAGCAGATTTGATTTAACTGGACATTTTGAATATCATTATCATAAGAAATTGTATTAATCAACGTTGAATAAATGAAGCTTTGAAATAATGCCTTGTTATTGGTCACCAGTCACAAAGGGAATATTTGAAAAACAAAAACAGCAAGTCATGAACCATCACATCAAAGCAGTATCAGATTCAATCAGACACATCTCTAAAAATAATAGCGTGTATTTATCTTGCTGTTGCTTTTGAGGACTAGCTTACCTATTTATAAAGTGTATAGTGATGGAAACAAAAATCTCCTGTAATGAAATATTAGGCACAGTGCCAAACTACATCAATTTGTTTATGTTGGAATAAATGTGTCAGTTAGGTAAATTGCTTTCTATCTTCTGTTCTGTACAATTTTTTCACATGAGGTTTAGGAGTAATACTGCTATCTCACCAGATTCTTTGGAGACTGATACACTTTCATTTTGGTACCATTATATGGAATATTTTAAAGTTTAAGGTTATGTAGAGAAAAGGTTCAAGACATATTGCAATAGAGAAACGGCTTGAATTAAACCATCTAAAAAATCATAACTCTTATAGAAAGCCTTCAAAATTGCAACATTTAGTCCATGACAGTGCTCTTCATTATATTTACAAATATTTAAAACATGTCTTGAAATGGGCATTGCAAATGCTCATGAGGAAGGAAGTTCATTCAACCGACTGGTGTACCACAGGGATTAGTGTTTGGTTCCTCGTCTCTTCTAACTGCACATGGTCTGATTATTCGCTCTAATGGTTTTCTTATCACTGCTGTAGCTTATTTGTCTAGGCCAGCGGTTTTCAAAGTGTGAGGCGCGACTCCCCAGGGGGGCGCCAGAGAGCTTCAGGGGAGGCGCAGCGTGAGAAAAAAATAACGAGAAACAGTGAAATCTAGCTAGTTAACTTCAGCTAACTTTATGCTTGCGGCAACATGGATACATTTTTTGTGAAGTTACCTAAAGGGAGAGAGGAGACAGCGTCTGGCAGAAAACGGAGGAAGTATGATTAGTTGAAGCTAGGATTTTCATGGACCGGTCCTGTCAGGGGCGGACTGGCCATCTGTGTGTTCTTGAGAATCACAGAACGGCCGGTCGTCAGCGAACCGCCCTTTATAAGTACCGGTCAAGGCTGCAGCCAGAGGATGATCTGCATTTATTCCTGTCTACATTGCATCCCCCGCATCATCTGCCTGTGCGCATCAAAGACGCAGACTCATCGTCCCCACTAAAGTAGGGGTGAGTGTAATGAGGAGGCAAAATTGACTGAAAAATGCTAACCTATTACTGCACCGAAAATCACTCCTAGCACCCTTATTACTTATCCTAGCTGCACATCCAACACATCGTTTGTGATCGTAAGGAGACACAGAATCTACACTCAAAGATTACACATTCGCGGAGAAAATAACAAAAACCTACATCAAAACATGTGGCGCTAGGTAGCCAAAAACGCTAACATGGCTTACATTGGTCTTTGTCTGGTCAAAACTGGTCTTCAATGGCATTAAAACGATAAAAACGATGGTGTAGTTAATCAAATGTGTCTGTGTCCCCTTTGAAATGTTCTGATAATCCATAAGCAATAAAACTGCTTTTCCATTTCCAGATATCAGAGCAGGGATATGCCTACGCTCAGCGTAGCTTGAGAGTCTATGGGACGCTTTCCATTCGATTCTATTGGCTCTAACGGTCAGGAAGAGATGTCACATGTCAAAATCGAGCAAGGGGGCCCAGAGATATGGAAAATCCACCCAAATGGACCCAGAAGAGGTTTCTTTTGCTAAATCTGTCTAAAAAGGTCAAATATCACTTGTTTTGCATCAATCTTGATACAGAGTACTTATTATCTGTTTTACTTTGGATTCCTAAAGCTTTTAGTCTACTAACCCACCATCCAAGGTTAGTTTTCACTATAAGTACAACATATTTTGGACGGACACTATATATTTACAGTTTTTTACCATGTTCAATCTGAATTTTCTTTAAAATAAAAAAAATCTATATTGATTCTGACTTTTCTACATCCAACTCACAGGTTTATCATTACTTTTAGAAAAAATATTATTAATTTAACCCTTAGAAGGGAATATATGGTCATTTGTTCTGGGAATGTCATTTTCGAGCCTGAAACCTGAAAAACAAGCTTGGGGGCTAACAGGTTAATGTTTTAAGGAGGTGACGCTACTCAGCCAATCAAATTGGTGCAGTCAGTGAGTCAGCACGATAGATTCAAACACACACACTGAGACGAGACAAGAAGAGAGAAACAGTCGGAGTCATTTCAAATGGCGTGCTCAAAAAAGAGAAAGGTAGACAGCGAAAACAGAGCATTTAATGACATTTTCTGGACCTCTTTGAAATACAATTGAATACCCCTACATTAAAGCAACAACAACAATAATGATAATAATAGCTAGGAGGAGGGGCGCAGCTGTTCTTATGTTCTCTGAGGGGAGGCTCACCTTCCAACACTTTGGAAACCCCTGGTCTAGGCTCTATCGGTGCTGCTCTCAGCATGCCTCAATGGTATCTCAAGAAAGATTATAACATCAAACCTTAAACTCAATATCTCTCTTAAGGGTCTGTTCAGAAAAATGCAGAAGCTCACATGTACAATCTTATACAACCTTTATAATTTTTCAATAGCTGCCAGTTACTGCTCACATTAACTTTAAGTTACCAATGCTCGTCTACGCAGTGGCAACTAACACCTACCTGACCTGCTCCTTCAGGTTTATTAGCCTTTCATTAGCTACGATCTACAATGACGACTGTAGTCCTACTGTCACTTGCACTTTTTCTCAAAGACTTCTTTGAGAACTATTATGTACCTTATTCTTACATCGCTTTCGACAAAAGTGCCTGACAAATGAATGAATGTAAATGAAAATTCAGCTTTGAAACACTGCTGAATGTCCACCATACTGCCTGAATACAAAGTAGCAATTACAGAGTCCTTTTAATAAGGCTGCTTTCAATCTCTTAATCCATTGGGTGTTATATCATAGTGTTGCCTATCATAGTGTTGTACAAAACAGAAGATTTAGTTTAAACGTAGCAAGTTTGTTTTGTCAGTCCACACTGTGAACTTGTTTTGATACATACATTATTGCACAGCAACACTGCATTAAATGGTAATTTTAATTTGTATCATATAATAAAAATAAGAAAACCCACATGGATCTTGGTCCATAACTCGGCCAGTCAGAATCACCTATTTCAAATTGCCATCAGCGAAACATTTAGTTTTCTAGCCCACAGTATTGGATTGGTTTGGATCCAGTGCTGGAAAATATAGACATTGTGTTTCCCCTGTAGGTGGTGACGGCTGCTTTGCAGTGGACAAGCAGACAGGCCAGGTGGTGACCACAGGGCTGGTGCTTCAGAGGGACAGAGAGTACTTGTTAAGCGTGGTAGCTCTCGATGGCCTGGGCAGCCGCAGCCCCCCCGCCATGCTCTCTGTGGTGGCAGGAGCCAGAGCACCAGAGTTCACCAACACCAGCTACGCCATATCCATACCGGAGAACACACCTGAAGGACAGCCGTGAGTACCCCATATTCTACCATTCACTCAGACATTCATAGGCAGGGATGATACAGGCAAAACATCATGAGAAAATATTTGTTTAGTTTTGTAATTTCTCACATTTTCTATCTAATTATGATATTGTGACATCTCTTTGAAGTATTTTCTTGTAGTTAAACAGGAGCTTTTATTCAAATATGGTCTATTCCCATGTGGTTTATCACCAAACACTCTTTGTCGGATTCTTTTGTTGCCTCAAAAGTTATAATTGCCTGATACTAAGGAATAAAAAAAAGGATGAGCACTATTAAAGTTGTATTGTCAGTGTACCTCTTATCTGTACATTTCTAAACACTAGGATGGATGCCTGCATGAAAGCAAACTGATTAATCGACACCAGAACAGTTGTAAAATTAATTAAAACTGAAATGCATGCAGGCATGTCTGTGCAAAAAACAACTCCTACATTAACTAATTCAGACATGCATAAAGGCACCCTTGTCTAAGATGTGGATTCCCAAACGCTACCTGTTAAAACTTATGCTGATGAATATTCATTTGGTCACACCAGTGCGCTCGAGCGTAAATTGACATATCATCATCACACACCATTAGGGGAACGCAAACTCTCTTAACCGTAAAAATAAACATTGATATATGCATAATAGTATTACATTATAACAAAGGACTGACGAGTAAAGATTGACTGTGTTTATAGCACATAGTCAATGGGCCATATAGGAATTGATTTCATTACAGCGCTGTGCTCATGTGGGAAAAGAGGATTTCAATTTTAATCCAACATGTGTGCAACTGATATTGAACAGTAAAGTTGTTCCTTAATTTTTTTAATCTGTTTTCTCTTTGTTTCCGCAGCTTCCTGGCTGTGTTTGCCATTTCTTTCCAGAACCAGCCTATCATCTACAGCCTGCTGATCAATCCCAGTAGCCTTTTCAGCATCAAGCAGGACACAGGGGAGATCAGTCTGACCAGGACGCTAGATTACGAGAGTGACCAGCGTCGCTACCTGCTAATGGTGCGAAGCAGCGAAGAGCCCGGCAGCCTCAGCACTGCCACAGAGGTTAGTTTAATTAGAGGGAGATACAGCCAGCAACATGAGTCATAGAGGAGTTCATACACTCAGTTTAAACAAGCCCAAAACTGAGGTCCTCTGTGATGCTTTATTCTGAAATCTGTCACACAAGCATTTACTCTGACTGCTGAATTAAACTGAAGAAGAAAATATGATGTTGTTGTTACTGCACTGTGCTCTCCCACTGGACATCCATAAAGCTTTCAGAGTCACCAGTTTTCACCTAAATGTTATGTGTCTGACAAGTCTGCATCAGAGGCAATGATCTGATGTCAGCGCTGACCTGTTGACATCAACAGTGATAGCAACAGAGAAGATGCAGCCGAGTTTTTGGCTGTCTACAGAAAAAGGCATGGCTGAATGGTTCTGAAATGTTAACAAGTCACCCGGGGGACTAAGTGATTATTTTTTTCTTCCGTTTGTTTTTCAGCCCTTTTTTTTTTCTAATCTCAGTAAGTGCGTGTTGTTGAGAGTGTGATACTGAGATGAACTTTGTAAAATATAGCACACACTCTGAGGCACGTCGCATAAGAACTTCTCATCCGAAAAACTTAATTCACAGCGAATATTTCTAGATAAACTATTCATGAATTCAGGATCATTTAAATTATTAATTTAAAGATTTTGTTTCTCAATTATCATGTCAGGCACTCGCTTATCACCGCAGATTCAGCAGACAAAAATCTCCTTCTGCTCAGCCACATGTCTCAGTATAGGAGATGGAGACTGGGGAAACCTATCCCAGTTATTTTAGGACTATTACTCAGCTGTCACTTCACACTTTACACACAGTGGTGACAGGGAGCTTGTAGGACAGGGGAAGGGGGGCTTTTGTTGAAAAAAAACACACATGCTTAGAACATTTCTATTTTTGACTCGGACAAATCATGAAATGGAAGATAAAGGATGTGGTGAACTGTCGACTTGAAGAACTATAAAATGCCATTTAGATTAAGGACTGGGAGAATGTACAGGTACAGTATACGAGCATTCCGTATGGTTGTCTCCTGGATGTGAACGCTATTAAAGAAAGGCTAATTTTATATTCTTCCATTCTGATTTTGTCTGTTTTTCTCTCCTCCTTTCCTCTCCTCTCCTCTCTCCTCTCCTCTCCTGTCCTCTCGCCTCTCCTCTCGCCTCTCCTCTCTTCTTATCCCATCACACTGGCACTAATCAGGTTCAGGTGTTGATAACGGATGAGAACGATTGTGTCCCGGAGTTCCTCCAATCCATCTACAGTGTGGATGGAGTCCCTGAGACTGTAACCACAGCAACATCCCTGCTGCAGGGTGAGACTCCTCTGACCCCATATTTCACATCCATCTGTTCCTTTGTAGAGAGAGAAACTCTCCAAAAAGTCCCTTTTTCTGCAGGAAAACAACAGATGTATTCTGGGAGAATGCCAAGGCCTTTATTCAGAACTTGATTCATCGTTTGGCTTATAGACCCATAATACGTCAATTTTTCACGAACCGAAATAAACTAATACATCTTTCACATCTGTGATCATCATCTCAGTTATACTCAGCTAAGCTAGCTGCTACAAAGACAGCATTCATTTGTTTTGATTTATTATGTACTGTATGAATGATGACATGTCAATGTATCTGTTACTGCATGAGGCTACCTTATAATTATCAATTATGAGGCTGAAAGCGTATCTATTGTCATTGCCGCTGCTTAACTTGAGTGGCAATGTTTGTAAAAATACACACTGAAAAATCCCTCTGAGGCAAGAGTAGAAAAGTGCTATACTGTGTATTTTTTTCAATAATTTGATTTTTCTGTTTAACAATGTTTGATAACATACGTTTCTAACTAGGACGTGTTGCCTCTTTCGATAGAATGTTCTGCTTGTTAAAAGATGAATAGTGAATATTTGCATGAGTTGAGTCAAGCATGATAAATAGAGCAGTTCTTTATACTATACACTTATTTTGACATCTTTAGACCTTTTCCCTTCTTCACGCGTATTTTTAGATACTCTACCTTTGGGTTCTCTTTGGAATATTTCACTACACAACTACTTCTCTTATGTTTGACTCACAAATTAAGGGGCTCAAGGCATAAAAAAACCCTAGCTACAGGAATTATTCAGGAGTATTCTTTTTTAGCATTTCACTATGTTGACTGTTTAGTTTTGTCAAATGCTTCTGCACCTGTGGGATTTCAGTTCCACATGGATTACCGAAAGTGATTTGTGAGAATCTACGGCTGGGAGAATGATTCTAGTGGATTCTCGTTGGGAAAAATGGAACTAATTTAATCTTAAAACATTCGAATACACAGCCTAGAGCGGCAGAAATGGTTGGCTGTGCAGAGCTAGCGGAAGGAAAAATGGCACCAAATGCAAACCAATGCATCAACAAAAAATAAAACAACCAGTAGCGTAGGAGGAACTCAGCAGAGGAGAGATCAAAGGTAGAGAGATTGCACAAAGGGAGTCTTCAGCGAGACCTACTGATGGGAAGTTATATATCGCTATGCTACAAATACAGACCGAAAAGATATATCTTTATGTTCCAATAAAAAGGCCCCTGCAACACCTGTAAAATACTAAATTGTGAGACCAAGGTGTTTTGGCTTTTGGTCATCATGAAATGCATTACGATCAGCATTTCTGGCCTTGAGCCAAATGGCCATGAACAAAACCAACCTTTCTAGTTGAGCCAGCGGCCGATATGTGTGTGGATGAATATGATTGATCATCTTTCATATTTATTTGTACCTTTCTGCTTTATGCCGACCCTATTTAAATGTTATGTTTTGATCTTATTTATAACTCTAAAAAGGCCACAAGCCAAAATGCATTGTTCTTCATAAGAAGAGTACATCAAAGCATAACATAAGTCATTTTCTGTTGGCAGTACAGTAGGTGACGCTAGACTAAGGTGAATATTTGCATGAGTTGAGTCAAGCATGATAAATAGAGCAGTTCTTTATACTATACACTTGTTTTGACATCTTTAGACCTTTTCCCTTCTTCACGCGACATGGAAGTAGGTGAAGTTTTATGTTTATAAAATGTTTTGCTATGTGATACTTTATTCTACCTTTTAAATATTGAAATGCCTGATAACAAACAAAGTATCTCCTATCACCATGGGTGGCCAAAAAGCTGGATAAAAAAGCTAAATAATGTTAATTTTTTAATCTGCCGGTCTGAACTGCAAACTAGTGAAAAGTGCTCATGCACCAAGGGAGTGAAATCCCCATTACCCCAATATCAGATTGCATTCTACTAGGCAAAGACACATGAATACTTAACAATGAGGCTTTCACTTTAACTTTACCCACTGAGGTTGATGGTGAAAAAGAGAAATAGTCTGGAGAGAAAGCACTAGGTTTAAATGAAACTTTAAAATTGAATGATTCATTCCCATTAAACACTCCAAAGAAGTATTTATATATAGAACAGTAAAGAACTATATTACAAAACATTGAGGTGAGAAGCATTGAGATGCAAGACTGCTACTGCTGATTCCTGAAAAACAGGAAATACACACATCAAAAGAATTTGCAATATGCTTATGTTCTGAGCTAGAGGGGCTGTGTATGAAACACTGACTTTAAGTGAAATTCAAACAGCAAACTTAAATTAGCTCGGCTACGGAGGTTGTCAATATCAGTGGCTGTAGTTCCATCACACGTTAGAAACAAAATCTATATATTTTTTTCGGTGTAATGACCACGGAATTAAATCATTTCCAAACGCTTGCTGCAGAAAAAACAACTTGTTTATTTCAGTGGGTCTTTTTGCCGTCTTTAAGCTCATTTTTACAAATGATGGTAATTACTCTGAAGGGGCTCAGTCAGTGCAGTTTATGTGCTAGTAATTGTGGCTGTCAGAGCTTATGATCTATTGCATGTTCCGCAAGGCCATAAAGAGATAATGATCTACACAGATGTCAACATATTCATCAGCGGATGCCATCTCATCAGCTCGTTTCGATTAACTGTGAATTGATGGTCCATGTGTGATGTCTTCCCTCAGTGTTGGCCACGGACTGTGACTCGGGGTTAAACGCTGAGCTCACCTATTACACCCTGAGTCCGGACTTCAGCATTTCACCGCACGGGACCGTTTTCCCTGCGGGGCGGCTGGATTACGAGAGGCCCAACCATCTGTACGAGTTTGTTGTGATGGCGACGGACAGCGGGGCGGAGCCTCACTCGGGGACGGCTACGGTTCGTGTGAGGATGGCAAACATCAACGATGAGACCCCCGAGTTCTCCCAGCCTGTGTGAGCAGCTTTACCACTTATTCTTACATAATAGCTGTCCATTCTTTCCCATAAATCCTTCTCCGTAATTTGTGGTGTTCATTTTTACACCATAGCTTTTCACATTTTTACCTTTCTGCCAAACAAAAATACAACAATGACCGAGATAGGAACTTTAAGAGAAAGCTGATGCTGATGTAGTCATCTATTGGCTGTATGTAAGAATAAGAAAAGTGCGGGTCCAGGACTCAAAGGTGCTAGTGGATCAATAAGCCATTACAAAAAGTATGCAGTGTTAATATGTCTTTGTGAATGTTGCTTCTGAAAACACAAAAATTAGTTTATTTGCAAGGCCCCCCTCATACACAAGAAGCAGCGTGCTCAAGGTCCACTTATTTTGCTGCAGGCTTTGTTACTGTAGCCCAAATCATAAAAGCAAAAATGTGAGTTTTTCTCAGGGCCCAGAGTTCAGCTATGACGATCAAAGTTTGTCACAAAGATGACAAGTTTAAGGAGTGTTTCTGCTCCTGGCACTGAGTTATCTCGGATCCACCAGATGAACGCATTTCATCACATTTAATCTTTGCTTTGCTCTTTGAACCGACAAGGTAGTAGCTTCACGGATACATATGTCGTTGCTTTACACATCTCAGACCCGTTTTCCTTCAGGCTATTTGGCGTGGTAATATTTGCTGCTGGCCAAATTGCATCAATGGGGCTGTAGTAAAACCCACACCAGTTAAGCAAACTCAATATATTTCATAGTCTGTCCTGCAGGTTCGATAAAAGAAATGTGTCTTGTTCAGAAGTTCAGTGAAATCGCTGGGGTTTATTTTGGGCATTCTTCAAAATTATGCAGCATACTGGCATCCGGATGCAATCCAGTGTGTCCTCGAGCACCTTTTTGGCGAAGCTGTTTGAGTGGGTGGGCAGGAACTGTCACTGTGGCACTGCTGCATTTATTCACCAAAACGAGTAAACCCTTGTCCTTTCAGTCATGTTTGAATGACCTTCAAAGAAGGCTGTTGCATACCTCTGTTCCTCGCTCGTGTTGCATTGTCAGGTGTCAGTCTCGGTGTGTGGCTCGACACAGAGCCAAACAGGCGGGCAGAGAGGTGGAGATGTGGGCAGACAAACATAAAAATGAGGAGAAAAACACACTGGAACACGGTAGCAGGGCAAGCGAGAAGAGAATACCAAAACATGCACAGCGAGGAGACGGGAGACAGCCAGTCAGATATGCAGATAAACGGAGAAAGCTGTCGGCAGCCAGACAAACACTCATGCCAGACCAGCAGACAGAGAGAAACGCAGGCATGTTGCCAGGCAGGGTGTGTTGGTCACTCTGTGGATAACTGATATGTAGATAAGCATTGTGAGAGCGGAAGGGGGCATTACAAGGCTGGTAGATACTATGTAGATTACTCAGAGGTAGAAGAAGTACTCAAATCTTGTACTTAAGTAATAGTAGAAGTACCAGAAAGTAGGGATACTGAAAGTCCTGCATTCGAAATGGGATTCAAGTAAAAGTACAGAAGTATTGGCATCTAAATATACTGAAAGGAGTAAAGTACTCATTATGCAGATTGGTCTATTTCAGAATAATATATATTATATGGTTTGATTATAATTATTGATGCATTGAAGTGTTTATCAAAGCTGGTAAAGGTGCAGCTAGTTTTAATGACTTAGTATACTGCAGGGTAGCTTGTGAATTTACTCCCGGTGTAACTAAAGTCTGATTTAAGTGTTGATTATTAAGTATTAAATGAATATAGCGGACTAAAAGTACACTATTTATCTCTGAATTGTAGTGGAGTAAATGTACAAAGTAGCAAAACACTAAAATACTCAAGTAAAATACAAGTATCTCAAAATTGTAGATAAGTACAGTACTTGAGTACACTTCGTTACCTTACACCAATGACTTTTATTCATTTATCTTCGACTCGGGTTGATTGAGATCCTTCCATGCAAATATCCTGGCTTGACCTCTCGGTTGTCATCTGTAAAGAGGCTCACAGTGAGCGATGGTCAGGCAGAGAAAATGCAAACAGCCGACATGCGGCCGGCCGGCAGACGGACAGGCGGCTTCCTCCGTCTGAGTACAACTTCACAGTTCAGTGAGATGAAGGGAGATGCTTCAGGAAGACAAGCTGAGGGAGTGTATACGTCTCATCCCACAGAGCCGCGGAGAGGTGGCCTCTGAGCCGGGTGACAGATTACAGGTCACTCATGTTGCCACGGAGACTGCCGCAGCGGGCGGAGACGAATCACCCATCAGCGTTCTTCTGTAAACCATCAATCACCTCTGACTCCTCACTACAGACATGGACTCCCAGCCCACATACACACACATACTCACACACACACATTGGGAGAGGATACAGCACAAAATCTCACAGGGGATGAGTTCTGCTGACGAGTCAAACTCAAAAGTCTGTGAGAACACCGCCCCCTCTCACATCCTGCTCCGTGTCTATCAGGCTTCCTCTCTCGCACTCCCTCATATCACTTTGCCTGTCACTTCAGTGTCAGCCGTCTTTCTTGTCACCTGCTCCTCTCTCGCCTCTGCTCTGTTATTTTCATTTCTCTTCATCCCCGCGTACTCCAAGTCAATGCAGTTCATCTCCATCGCTCCGATCTTTGTCCACCGGAGCTATATCAGTCTCCTGTTTCTCGCCGGGCATCTGGCTGCCCTAGCACCACAAAGCAAGCAAATCACTGTTGACATTTTAAAAGGTACTGGATCAAATGGGCCACAGTGGGCCCGGGTACGCGGAAGCACCATTTGTCCAATAGCTTCACCATCCCGGTAGACATTATCATTCCTCTCTAGTCTGGCCGGTTAAGAGGACAGGTTAAATCATAGTGACAAGCAAAAGCCGCAACCATAAGTCTAATCAGTCTGCTGATGCTTTGGACCGTGTCAATGATTTGTATTTGTCTGGGTGTGTTCTATGCGTATATTCAAAAAATAAAAAATGTTATTTGCGCTTTATCTCTCAAAGACACGTTACAGAGGTAAAAAAAAGAAATAAAAAAGATAAAAAGTTGAATTTAAATCGAGCTAATAAACCAACATTTAGCCCAAGGAGACAACATTAATCACATATTAAAAGCCAGTCTGAAACGTTGAGATAGGGTCAGTGTCTTAAAGGTCCCCTATTATACTATTTTTCATCAATATATTATAGTTCTCGGTTATACAAAACATGTCAAGTGTTTGGCTCCAAATACCAAACAGATCATTGTAGCATCCCATAATCCCCTCTGTTTCAGCCCTGTTTCAAAAGTGCTGATTCTCTGTCTTTTACTTTAGATGAAAATAAGGAGCCACTCCTCACGACCCTCTGCGAGATATTTGGTTAGGACTGTGGGAGGCATGTGGTGCAGTGTGATGTGCGTTGGATCAGGGGGTCACAGCCAGGTTCAAACCCCACTGCAGTCAGCATGTCGTTGTGTCCCTGGGCAACACACTTCACCCCAAATTGCTCCTGTGGGGATTGTCCACAGTATTGAGTATGTAAGTCGCTTTGGATAAAAGCGTCTAACAAATGACATGTAATAATGTAATGTAGGACAGTGGTTCTCAACTGGTGGGTCGCGACCCGCGACCCAAACTTTTTTTTGAAGGCCCGATTTTCTAATGTTGTGCATGCAGTAGGCGTTGGACTGGAAGTACTGGAGACCATAAACGTTTTTGAAAACGTCTGTCACGTACAGTAGTGATCATCTTCTCAATAAAACATCAATGCTGATGTTTTTTCGAATCTTCTGGCCAATCAGAATCAAGATTGTTGCCGGAAGTCCCCACAGAGAATAACTTTGCGGTAGAACTACTCTTTATACATCCATGGGTACAACTTCAGATAAAAAGAACACATAATAAAGTACGACCCCCAGTTTGATGATTGACAGATCACAGAACAATGGGGGCTATCTACCCTACCCACAATCTGAAGTAATTCACTCAGACAAGTTCAGCTGTCAGAACAAAGTGAAAAACAAACAATGGCATACAATATTTATTTATTTTCTTCTCAGAGTGTACCAGAATGCGTAGTTTATATGTTAGTATTTCTAAAAATCTCCTGGGGGAGAATCCCCCCAGACCCCTCTGCTGGGGTTGGGTTTTCAGCATGTGTGCCTTTTTATGTTATACAGTTCAGCTTTGATACCATCATCTCATTAAACCTTATTTAAAAGCATTCTTTAGTTCTGTGAAGGGATACAGTATATGCACCAGGCCTGGAATTTCGTCATTTTAGGGGCAAGGCCACTTGGCCTTTTGAGTTGTCAATTTTTTAAGGGCACAAAGGCCAAAAGCCAGGGCACCAAGGCCATAAATTAAAACAATGATTTAACATACGATATGAAGTGACTACGATTGTATATGCATTTACAATACTTTTTTTACAGTTCAGGCATGCCACAAGACATGTGAATGGGTATTTTGATCGCGTTTTGAAAATTGGGCGATATAAACGAGCAGCAAACTTTGAACTTCCGTCTGCGATCGCCGGTGGTCAAATAACTCTGCACAGAGGTCTTTGACAGCTAACAACACAGCGCTAACTGCCTAGCACTAGATAATAATAAAAAAAGAACACAACTGCAACATAACTTATCCAAGTAGTAACAAAAACACTTCAAAATATTATAATTATGCATTACCATACGAGCAAGAAATAGTAATGTTATCCATAAAATTACACTTAAAGCTGGACAAATGAAAAACTTAACGGCAAACAGGATCATCACAACACCTTACCTCACCTCAGCCTTTTCTTGAGCGGAGAATCAGCTAGCTAGGTCCTAGACCGTCCTACGCACACGGACGCGTGAGGGGGTGGGCGGAGATAGGTCCTAGACTGATGTCAACTGTCATCATAGACCAGGGGTCGGCAACCTTTTTGATATGAAGTGCCATTTAAAAAAAAAAATTGTTATCAGCGTGCCGACGATCGAGAATTATCAACGGGAGGGGTTATGTGTAAGCAACGAGGGGGAATGTGTGG